GGCATGTGGGATCCTCCCGGACCGGGACACGAACCCTTATCCCCTGCATCGGCAGGCGGACTCTCAACCACTGCGCCACCAAGGAAGCCCTCCCTACGATTTTTTTCTACCCTCTTCTCTCCCTCTTTCTAGACTTCCTCGAATAATACTGTTTTTCTCATCTTTCCATGCTTTTATCTTTTTGTTCTATTTTCATATGTATTTTTCAACTTTATCTTCTGAGATTTTTCTTTTTTCTTTTTTGATAAATTTATTTATTTTATTTCTTTATTTTTGGCTGCGTTGGGTCTTCGTTGCCGCGCGCAGGCTTTCTCTAGTTGAGGCGAGCAGGGGCTACTCTTTGTTGCAGAGCCCGGGCTCTAGGCGGGCGGGCTTCAGTAGTTGTGGCTCGCAGACTCTAGCACGCAGGCTCAGTAGTTGTGGCACACGGGCTTAGTTGCTCATCGGCAAATGGGATCTTCCCGGACCAGGGCTCGAACCCGTGTCCTCTGCAATGGCAGGCGGATTCTTAACCACTGCACCGCCAGGGAAGCCCCTGAGATTTTTCATTTCTGCTATCATATTTTTAATTTTTCCGGGAAACGCTCTTTTTAATAGCCTCCTTTTATTCTCCAGATATAATAACTTTTCTTATCTCCCTGAAGATACTGATTAAAGTTTATTTGAAGTTTTCTCATGCACAGCCTGCACAGTCTCTATCTTCTCTGAGTTCCTTTCCCCCCTCCTGTTTATTATTGTTTCTGTCTTTTATGTTAGAGATTTCCCTCAAATATCTGGCAATTGTTTGTGGTCCGTTGATATTTGTCGTGTTAGGAGCGAGCAGGAAGTTTGATGGAAGTTCTGGGTGACTGAGGGGACTGAAAACTTCGTGGCAGGTTTGCTAGCTACAGACCCTGTCATTGGATCAGTTTCCACTGCTCGCGGAGGCCTCCGCTGCTCTCCCAGCCAGGTACGGACCGCTCTGCGGATGGTCCGGAAGCTGGGCGGGAGGGCACGGCGGAGGCGGCGAGTGGAGCTTGGGGACCCGCCCGCGGCTCGCAGCCTGCGAGCCCCGCCCACTGCATGTGGCCAAGGGCGGGAGGCCAGGCCAGGCCTGTGCAACGTCAGGCCTACGCCCGGCGGCCTGGCTTCCTGATAGAGAGTGATGCCACCAAGTTTGTTCTGCAGCAGTAGGTGCCTGGAAACCCACCGAGTAGGCACTGGGTCGGCTGGGGTGGGAGGAAGCAGCGAGCCTTCTAGAGGTCAGCACCCCCCATTGTTTGCAGCCTTGTTCTGCAGCAGGGTCATCCCACTGGCCACCCTAAGGCCCTCCCTTAATCCTTTATGCTAACAACCTCAACGCCAGCTCCTACCTCCCCCGCTCCCCCCCCACCATCCGGCCCCGCATCTTGCCCCTTCCAAGTTCCTGAGCACCGGCCTCTGCCCAGGAGTTCGGATGCTGACCTTGGCCTTCTCTCTTTCCTGGCAAAGTGGGCAGTGAGAGGTGCCACTCAAAGTTCTTCCCTGGGGAGAACTTCCTTCTTCAGGGCCTTTCAGGGCTGCCCACCTCGGCTGGAGGCAGCAGCCCTGCTGCACAGAGCCCTGGGGAAGCCCAGCTCCTGGTTAGCCCCCAGGGCCCTCCAGGCCAGGTGTGGCAGGCGCAGGCACATTGGCAACGGGAACCACGAACTCCTGCAGTTTTCCGAGTCCCTCACGTGTCCTGGAAGCAGTGCTGTTTGGCACACCATCTCTGACTCGCTGTTCTCATGGGCAACTCAGACTGATCCTCTGGTGCCCCCTGAGCGTTCAGTCTCCTCCAGGGCCCAGAAATGAGCCAGGGACTGTTCCTCAAAGGAGAGTGTGTGGGCTCCTGCTTTCCCCCTACAGGATTTCTCCACTCAAGGTAAATGCCTGAGGAAAAGGCTTCCAGTTGCTGTAGCTGGGGTCACCTTTCTGCAAGAGGAGACTGAACACATAACGGACAATGGCCAGACCGTGTATGGATAAAGATCTGACCCACGACCTGCAGCAACCTTCCTGGAAACCAATCTCTTATCTACAGTAACCAGACAGGAAGCCAGCCCATTATAGGTCAGACTTGTAGGAAGTCAGACTACTATCTCTAGGAACAATTCGGGAAGCCAACGATAACCCTTGTAAATAATCACCCCAAATGTCCAGGACTTGATTAATAAGTGACAGCTTCCTTAATTTTTATCCCCTTTTCCAACTTAGGACCAACCAGAGGAAACCAAATCTGCTCCCCTAAGCAGTGACACACGATGCCCCCACTTCCAGTCAGCCCGCCTACAGCTCCCCGGGCCGACAGCCTCCATTCAGGGCACAGCTGAAGTCTCCCTTTTCCCCCATAAAGCTTCCTCACTCCTCTGCCTGCCTTTGAGCCAGCCTTTGGCAGTGGCCGATTCCCTTGCTGGAGCCACAGCTCTGAGTATACAGCTTGCTGTCATTTGCTGGTCTTTATTTTCACAGAGGGCAGCTAGAACCAGCTAGGAGGGAAGTGGAGTTTCCAAAAGAGAGGTGAGGGAGGTGCTGAGGTCAGGAGATGGTGGAGTGCAGAAGGTCTCTATCAGTCCGTGGGGGCAGGCCTTTGGGATGCAGTGGACTAGGTGTGCAAGTGCAGTGTGCTCCCAGGCAGAAGGAGCAGGCCCGGCCCGGCTCTGAAACCATCGTTTGCTCTCTCCAGGGGCCAAAGTCATCTAGCCATCGTCTCCAGGTCCAGGTGCTGTCTCCAGGAGAATCTGTCCCACTTTGGCCCTGCAGCCAAATGTCCAGGCCAAGGAGGGGGCTGGGCCCTTTAGTCTCTCTCTGATCACCTCCCCCAGCTTGGGTGTCTTCCTCCACTCCCAGATGAAGACATTTTCTCAGTTCTCCATCACTGACAGCTCTCAGGGGCTGGTCTGAGAGCCAGAGGGGCCTACTGTTGGAGTGGGGAGAATACCCCAGAGTCATAGCCCCCTCCCCTTCCCCGATCACCTTCAGAGGCAGGACAAAATTGGGAGGTGACTGGATTCCCTTAGCCTGAGCTGAGAATAAAGGATAGATCAGACAGGATGGGTCAGGTTATGCTGCAATAACAGACAACTGTAAAATGCCAGCAGTGTAAAACCACAAGGCCACTGCTCAACCACACCACGTGTCCCGCTCCATGTTGTCCTTGGAAGTGATTCACCCACTCTGCCCACAGTCCAGCATGACCAGAACATGTTATATGGCCCCTCCCAACTGCAGAGGGGTCAGGAAAGTGTCATTTTCCCAAATATCATCGGCGAGCAATAGAAAAGTCTCTTGCAAAGGGCTGCACTGTTGGCTCAGCACCGTGCTCCCAAAAGGCCTGATCCAGGCCTCCTTGCTCTTTTTCACAGTGCAAAATCCACTGCGTGTGTGCACCTAATGTACTTAGGCAGTCTCCTGTTGATGGACACCTGTTCTGTTTTCAACCTGTTGTGATCACAAGCAATAATATGATGATAACCTTGCTGGTGCCTCTATTCACTCTTCGGCAAGTTAAACGTTCTGTGACTCCTCATTCATAAACAGGGATGAGAGTACCTACTCAAGGGTGGTGAGGACTAAGGAAGGTAATATACTAAAGCTTTTAGTATAATGCCTGGTATCGAAGGTACTCCATTAGCTTTAGCAATTATTATCCTTATTTGCAAGGGCAGCTATAGATGGCTCAGGGATACGTGCCTCCTAGTTTTTGTTTTTTGGGGTTCTTTTTGCAGTTCGCGGGCCTCTCACTGTTGTGGCCTCTCCCGTTGCGGAGCACAGGCTCCGGACGCGCAGGCTCAGCGGCCATGGCTCACGGGCCCAGCCCCTCCGCGGCATGTGGGATCTTCCCGGACTGAGGCACAGCCCCGTGTCCCCTGCATCACCCATTTCCCCAGCCACCTGCCCAATGGCACTGCTCTCAGCTGTTCTGTGCTCCTGGGGTGCTCCGAGGGTGTTCAGGCATGAACTGAATCACAGCTGCCCTGCTGCTGGAGCCATGATTGCTCTGACACCATGAATGGCCCCTAAACTGGGCTATGTGGGGTGGGTGCAGGTACCCCTCTGCCAACCCACCACCCCTGCAGCATGCAGGCAGGACACCTTAGTCACTGCAGAGCTCCTTCCCTCTGGGCCCTCAAATAACATTTCCCGGAAGTCTCACCTACTTTGAGTTCTCTCAGCAATGAGAGAGGTTGACTTACTGAGAGGTTCCTTGCTTTGGGCAGGAGGCTCTGATGTTGGGCAAGGCTCCCCAGAGAAGGGTCTGCTCCTCCAGGCTGCACCAAGGGGGCCTCCCACAGGGCCTCCCCTCCAGCCATCCGTGGGAGCCCCGAGAGCCACAACCTGTTTGCACCCCATGCCTCCCCACTGTGGACACGCCACAGCCAGCTCACCTAGGCTGGGTCATTCTCTTTGCCCAGCTAACAAAGATGGTGAGAGAAGGCAGGAGGCGAGCCACCCGGATCGCCCAGTGCTGTTCCCGTGCCCACGACGCATAAGGGAGAAAGGAGAGCCCCATCTGAGCAGAAGTGACTGACCCTCCCACCAACCCAGCCGGGGCTGCTCTGAGCGGCTCAGTTCCTCCCCACGCCCCTCCGTGGCCAAGGGCCCCTCAGCTCCTGCAGTCCTGGATGGAGGCCCTCTGGCAGGTGGGCTGCTGAACGCAGAAAGCATGTTTATTTAAGTGAGCCTGTTCTCTGTAGACTGTGGGGATCTCCAGAGCAGGGATCATGGTTGATTTCTCTTCCTGTTTCTTTTTTTTCTTTCTCTTTGTTTCTGGAGTTCAGTAAACACAGAGCTGGTTGAAGACCCCAGGAAGACACTCTGTGTTTTAAGATTCAAGTATCCTGTCCAGCTGCCTGGCCCTCCCACAAGCTTGAGAGGATCAGGGAGCCCCCTCCCCAGAAAACTCAATGCTCACAGCACTGCTGCTCTCTTGGAAACTTTATTGGTCCTAGGGATAGGGAAGCAGGCAGCTCCCTGCCTCTTGCTGAGTGTGCCACAAGCCCTCACTGTTTCCTGTTGCCATTGATGGGGCGGTTCACGTGCTCCGGGGAGGCCAGGAAGGCCTGCAGCTTGGGCCGGGCGCTGAGGCGGGCCACGTAGGCTGAGAGCAGGGGGAAGGAGTCTAGGCAGCCAGGGGCCAGGACCTGGTGAATCCGCAGCAGGTCCAGCAGGTTGTAGTCAGCGAAGGAGATCTGCAGGGCAGAGCGGGGCAGGGGCTCGGTGGGTGTGGGAGGTGCGAGGCAGGGAGCCCGAGCCGGTCCCCTGGTCTGCCCAGCTTTGCTGAACCAATGGCTCACGTGCTCGCTCTGCATCGGTTTGCCATCTCTAAGAAGAGGGTGGTGCGGAAGGGGCGGGACAGGGCTAGCTCACCTGGTTGCCCACGATGAAGGCCTGGCCGCCCTGGCTCTGGGACAGCAGGGCCTCAAAAGGCTTCAGGTGCTGGGGCAGTGCCTTCACGTAGTCATCCTTGCCCGCCTCCTGCCAGAAAGATGCCACCGCGCATCATCCTCCTGACCCGCACACTGCTGCACGCCCTGCCTCTGCCCCTGCCCCTGCCCTAAGACGTCACCTATTGTCTGCCCCGTCTCAGCGAATCGCCACTCACCCAGCCCCCGCCCCTCCTCTCCTCACTCCCCACCCCAGGCTATTGCCATATCCTGTCCATTTCAGCTGCTAATCCTTCGCTAGGCCACTCTTGCCACGATCGCTCCCCGGACTGATGCAAAAGCCTTGTAGGATCTTTCCGGATCTCACAGACACTGCCCTGCTTAGACGCCCCAAAGAGAGCATCCAAGCCAGCTGGTTCAAGGCCTCCAGGACCTGGGCCCACTGCCCCTCCAGCTCTATCTCCTGCCGCTCTCCCTCCCTCCCTCCCTCCCTCTCACACATGTAGGCACACAGGCCTTGCCTCTGCTAAACTGGTCCCAAGTCCCTGAATGTGCTCCGTGCCTGATGCCTCGTGCACCTGACAGTGCCAGCACCCCTTCTAGAAGCTGACTATAGACCCTCTTCCTCTGCCCCTGGTTCCAGGAAGTGCCCCGGATCCCCCCAGCTGCGGATCAGGGACCACCTCTGGCTGGATGTCTCCTGTCCTCACGCTGTTCTGCCATTGCCTGCTACTTGACTGGGTCCCTCCCCCAGGCAGGGAGGCTGAGTCTTGTGTCCAGTCCATAATGGCTCTTGACCCCCACCCCCCGCAGAGCCAGAAGCAGCCCAAGGGAAGGATCAGTCAGAGCTGCATGAGGGGTGTTGTGTAGGGTGAGAAAGAAGCCAGCCCCTTTCTTTCTTTGTCCTCAGTGACCATCCCCGTGTCCGTGCTTACGTAGTTTGTGTAGATGAGGGTGACATATTTGCAGCGAAGGTCCTCCACGCCGTCATTCACCACGTCCACCAGGGCTGCCTCCCGCTGGTCCTTCCCATACAGCCCTGGGGTGGCGGGAAAGCAGACAGCATGACGGGGAGCCTGACTAGCCACTACAACCTGACCCACCAGACAGGCCACGTGGCTGCCTGTGAGCCTCCGCCAGGGAGGAGGGAGGGGGATGTGGAAAAGGACCGTCTGAGTCCATGCTCCGAATTCAGTGCGAGGTGGCCTGCTACAGGGCAAGGATTGCTAGACAGACCCGGGCCTGACCTTAGGCAAGTTAGGTAACCTCCACTTGCCTCCACTCCACAGGGTTGCAGGACAATTCGATTTAAGTGGAAGAGGCTCAAGGGGCCAACACTGAGCAGATGCTCAGGAACGCTGACTGAGGCCCGCACACCCCTGCCCTGGACTGGGCCACCTGCAGCCTCAGGACTCACCGAGGGAGCGGCCCAGGTGACGCAAGATGGCATTGGACTGGTACAGGGTCAGGTCTCCATCCTGGAACTTGGGGAGCTGCCCGTACAGCTGGGGGAATGCACAGCTCTGTCAGAGGTGCTGAGAGTGGCTGCCCCCCACCCTAGTTTTGCCCCCCAGTGCCCAGCCCCTGACCCGGGATACGACAGAAGTACTGACACAGGAGGCCTTGAGTGACGGCCAGGTCTCCATGGTCACCACCTCTTCCTTCCAGCTCTGGTCCTGGTCGGCCAGCAGCATGCGCATGGCCTCGCAGCGCCCTGGGGGAGGGGAGGACGGGGTGTGGGGATGGGCAGAGACCCCAGCCTAGCAGCGCCCTGGGAAAGAGCCAAGGAGGTGAGGACTCCTCCGATGATCTCCCAGTCCCACTGCCGAGGGACGAGCCAGGGCCCGGGAAGTTGCGTACTCTAGCAACGGGCAGCTCCGGGGCACAGGGAAGGCGGAG